AGGCACTGGCTGCCCATGGTGAGGGCTGGGGGGGCTCAGGGCCACCAGCTGGGCTGTGGGTGTGGGACAAATCCAGGCAGTCTGTCCTTCCTCCTGGTGTGCAGGAAGTTGTAGGATTTGTTTTGGTGTAAATCCTGGTGTTTTGGAGCCTTGGTTCCCGTGAGTCACTGCCCAGGTGGAGGGGGACAGGGTGTGTGGGTGCTGCTGGCTGAGGGATGCACAGAATTCCCAGGGCTCCCATCCCATACAGCCTGGGGCTGGAGCTGACTGGCAGCATCCACACTGTGCTGGGTCACAGGTGTCACAGTTTGTCGTTCTCAGCCACAGAGGGAGCACCCAGGGTGGCAGTGTGGTGGCCCAGAGTCCTGAATGGTGGCCGCAGGGGGATGGAGAAGCAGGAACATCCTTGGCTTGTGCCTGTCCTGCCCTGCTCCAAGGTGGGCTACGCTGTGGGGGTCCCTGTGTCTGAACACCCCTCTAGTTGTCACCAGTCTGTCCCTGAGCCTGTCTGCATCCCATGGTGACATGGGTGTCATTGCATGTCACCTCCAGCACAGCCCCAGTGGGGTAGGCTCCCCTCGGGTGACCAAAGGGTGCAATCAGAGGGTGCTCCCTGGTGCTGCCACCTGTGCCAGGGGCAGTAAGTGGGCCCCACGCATGGGTGCTGTGGCAGCATCTGTCCCCCCGTGCCTGTTCCCCCCCTCGTCTGTCCCCCCGTGCCTGTCCCCGCAGCCTCTAGATGGTGCCAGGAGAACGGTCTGCGAGCGGAGGCGGCCGGCGCCGTGCGGTGCTGGATGGTGCTGGGTACCGGGGTGCCGAGGTGTCGGGGTGCCAGGGCAGACCCCGTGGCTCTCCCCGTGCCTCCAGCTCAGTCCCTCCCTCTCCCCGAAGAAACACGTTCTGCCTCTTTTCCCGGGAAGCCCATTCAAAAGAACCCCCTTCTGTTTCCTTCCAGCCCGGTAGCTGCACAGACATCCTTCGGCTCCAGAGCCAACACCATTCCCAAGCTCCCGGCAAGTGCGGCCGGTGCTGCCGGTCCTGACCCAGCCCGCAGGACGCTGTGCCCCCCGCCCGGCTGTTGGGGTCCATCTCATGTCCCCCGGGAGCACGGACGGGCCCTGGGGCTCCGAGGACAGGGACATCACCCCAAGGGCCGCTGGCAGGGGCTTGGCGTGTGCCCACCGCTGCCCCACAGCTCCCGGGTCGTGTCCCCTCCCCGACCTTGAGAGCAGCCGCTGGGAATCTCATCCCGGCTGCCACCACATGGGATGGCAACACACGCGTGGGGGGACCACCGAGGTGGGGGCGCTGAGCCCCCCGTCCAGAGTCCGGGAACCAGCTCCCACCAATCCCCTTTACCCTGGAATTCCCCGTGGATGGGCGCTGTCCCCAGGGACGGAGGGGGCACCCAGCGCCCCCCGGGCTGGCGGGATGGGGGGTGTTCGACCCCCAGCCGGGACACGCCGGAGCCCCCCGGGACGAGCGGTTCCCTTTGCGGCTCCCGGCGTGCTCCGCTCCCGCGTCAGCCTCCCCGCTTCCCTCCCTCTCCTCCTTCCCAGCATCCCCGCAGCAAGCCCGGCAGGTTTTAGCTCGTGTCACCGGTGCGTGACAGGCTGCGGGTGGCAGTGGAACCCCGATCGTGGGGGGCTCAGCCCCTGGGCTCCTGCTCCAGCCAAGCGACGCCGAAGGGACAACCGACCTTCTCGCTGAATTCCGAGGGGATTTGGCTCGCTGAAAAAATTTTGGGCTTTCCAGGTCACTTCCCACCACCCACCCTGTCCAGGCACATCCCATGGCACAAACTGGATATTCCCTTTCTGAGCAGAAATCCCAGGGACACTCGTTGTCCCTCGGGGAGCTGGGGGATCTTCGCACGGTTTGGGATTGTATGAGGTGATAAACATATTTGATCCGGTTTCTTTCATCTCATTAATCATAATTAGTTATTAATATTCTGGGAGTGCTTTGAAGGCCAAAAGCTCGGTGCAAACGCTCCCTGGTACTACTGGTGTTACTATTACTCAGTGTGTGTGTGACCCACATGCTGGCAAGGGCCTGAGCTGCAGCCTGGAAGCCACAAAGGGAGCTGACAAGCCCCAGGGAGCCCCACAGAGTCCCATGGAGCCACATGGTGTCCCCTGGAGTCCTGGTGAGCCCCACAGAGACCCATGGAGCCCCAGAGTTCCCCACAGAACCCCACGGAGTGCTGATAAGCCAATGGAGCCCCATGGAATCTTCCATGGAGCCCTGCTGAACCCTACAAAGCCCTACAAAGACCTGGTGAACCTCATGGAGTCCCATGGAGTCCTGATGAGTCCCATGGAGCCCCACAGAACTCCACAAAGCTCCATGGAGTCCCATACAGCTCCACTGAGCCCTGCTGAGCCCCACCAAGCCCCATGGAGGCCTCCCAAGCCCCACAGAGCCCCATGGAGTCCCACAGAGTCCCACAGAGTCCCACAGAGTCCCACAGAGCCCTGCCAGGCCCAGCTGGTCCCTCACTGCCAGCTCAGCCTCTGTGTACCCGGAGCATAGCACAGCCCCATCCTCCAGCGTTGGGGTGGTGACACTCGGAGATGATCCATGTGTAGGACCTGTGACACCATCCCCACAGCCTGCCGTGGTCCCTGGGCCGGCTCCCTGGGCACTGGCACCTCCCACCTGACCTAGAAACAGCCCTGAGCTATAAATAGGGCGGGGAGCCAAAGGAGAGCTCAGAGGAGCAGCTTGGAATGCTGCAAGCGGGAGGCTATGGGAGCTGGAGTGGCATGGCAAGGACAGGCAGGGGACACAGGGTGACATGGGACTTGGGAAGGGGCGAGGCTGGACCCACTTCGTCCCCAGCAGCCCATGGAGTGGGGTGTGCAAGGAAGGCAGGCGTGGCTTTCACCAGCCTGTGTCCTGCTGGCCCAATGGTGCAGAGAGCACTGTAGCTCTGCCCCCATCTCCCAGAACTTTCCCTTTTCCCAGCACCCTCACCCCACGATGCTCTCCTGCCCTGTGCCACCCCTTTCCCAGCCCCACAGCAGCTGCTCTGGGCACCGTCAGCCCCCATCCAGCCCACCTTGGCTTGCTGGGGCACTGGGCTCTGGCATTTCTGCTCTCACGCCACGGGGATGCCCACATCCCTGTGGGGATCACCCACATCGCAGTGGGGATCACCCACATCCCAGTGGGGATCACCCACACTGGGAGCATTCGAGCCACGGGTGCTGGAGCTATTACAGGAACTGGTGAGTGGAGGGAGACTGAGGGCACTGGCACTGTGAGCCTTTCCCAGGGCCCAGACCCTGGGGCCAGCAGTGCCCCATGCAGCTGCCAAGCGGGAATAGGGTGACAGTGGCACAGCCGATCCTGACACAAATTAAAGCACAGTGCTGGAGTGTGATTCACCCTCCTGCTTTAAAGTCATTCATGAAAAGATTCATTGCTCTGCGTCCTCTACAGGAGCAGATCAGAGCCGGCAGTGAGTCAGTGCCGATGGCTCCCCGGCCCTGTCCAGGGGTTGGGTGGCTCAGGGGGCAATGGGACAGCCCCAATCCCAGCAGAGCAGGCACAGCTGGTGTGTGGGAACAGCACACTGCCCCCCCTCAGAGCATGAGGAAGCCCCATGGCTGTGGGTCAGGTCAAAGTGGCATCAGGGAAGCAAAGGGACCCAGCACCCAGCTGAGAGTCAAACAAACTGTGGTCTGTGTTAAATGTCCCTGCTCAGCATCTGTGGGGACAGAAGGAAATGCAGGAAGAGGAGATGTGCCCAGGGATGCTCTAAGGAAGAGCACAGTGCCTACCCCTCGCCTTCCTCCAGAAAAGTTGTCACTGTCCCCTGGCCTGGAGGTACCTGAGAGCTGCTGGTGCCCAGCTCTGGCATCGCTTGCTGAGCGTGTTGCCAAATTTAAGGAGGCTGAAGGAAAGCCTCTGTGTTGCCTTTGCCTCAGCTGGTGTTCCCTAGCTCAGCCCAAAGGGTCTTACCATCCATGGGAAGCCTCATGTCCTGCATGTATTGAGGAGCAGCTCTTGGGGAGCAGCCTGTGCTGTGGTGGGGCATCACCTGTGCCGTGGTGGAACAGATTGTCCACAGAAGCTGCTGCTGCCCCATCCCTGGAAGCATTCAAGGACAGGTTGGACGGGCCTTGGAGCAACCTGGTCTAGTGGAAGGTGTCCCTGCCCATGGCAGGTCCCTTTCCATCCAAACCATTCTCTAGGATTCAGGGTGAGCATCACCCACACCACGGTGGACATCACCTGTGCCAAGGGAAAGGGACCAGAGCCTTGGAGGGCTCAGGGATAGCAGTGCCTGGGGGACCAGTGAGCAGCAGGATCAGTCCTGTGCCTGGACATTCCTGCTGCATGGTGCTGGTGCTGCTGACCCCCATATGCTCCAAGCTTGGACTATCAGGGTCCTTGCGTGGGTGAGGGGTGTGAAGCTGACCCCTTAGGAGCACCAGTCTCACCTCTATTGTCCCCAGCCCCGGGGTCTGCTCCGT